AGATTGTATCCCGTCGCCGCAGGACGGCAGCCGGACCCCCGAGGCTAGCATCTACAATGTCGTTCTCTTACTAACTGATATAGTAGCCGAGATAAAGTCTCGCTTCAAGGATGACGTCCTCTTACTTATGAGTCATAAGTTATGACCATGGACAGATTCGATTCATCTCGTTGGACCCGAGACGCAGCTGGCTTGGTGGCCCTCAAGCTGGAAGGTCGACAGTGTATTTGGAAGGGAGCGCTTCAAGAGGAGGTCGCGTTCATGAAAAAGGATCTCGAATTCGACCCTATCGCTGAGGACGATAACTTTCACCGGTGCTTCTTCATGCGCGACAGACTAGTCGCCCTATATCCGAACCATGCCAGGCTGTGTTCCATCGTACTCTGTCTACCAAGTTCAACGGCTTCTGTCGAGAGGTGTTTCAACCTTTCGACTCGCATAGCGGATGACCATCGGAGCATGACCAGTGATATGCTTGTCAAACTGATGAGGATCAGTCATCAAGGTCCGGAGCTCCCGGGGATTGATTCTCCACCGAGTGCGGTCAGGGCTTACGAGTCTTTCATCGATGGAGTATGGGAGCACTGGGCCGCCAAGAAGAGCAGAAGAGTTGAGTGATCCCGATGCTGCATGGTCTTTGTGTATCCCTCAACGAAGCCCTTTTGAAAGTCTTCTTATAGACTGTCTCAGACAGTCTATGGGAGAGACTTTTATAAACAGTCTCTGTATTGAAGACTCATTTTTCCCAGAAAGGTCGCCTTTCTCTGGTCGAATTTCCGATCCATCGATTAGGAATCTGAATCAATGGATCTGGAATCCGGCTGTTGAATTTTCAGTACCACAACGTGATGATCATGTTGAGTTGGATTCATCCAAAAGTTTTGGACCGAAACAGTCAGATATTCACATCTCTGAAGGAAACAATGTTTCGGAAACATCGATGCGGAAAACAGGCTCAATTGGTGTGTCATTGACGCATCGTCAACGACGCATCAAGTGAGTGCGCCCTGAATTCCAAGGGCACCTTTAGGTGCGAACAGGAAAATCTCTGGATAAACCCCTGTCAATAATGCTAAGCGACACTTCATTAATGTGTTGCCCGGTGACGTCTCCGCACTAGGCATTATCTATACCGACTATGGTCACTTCGTAGTTTCCTGATGTACAGTGGATCAAGT